CGTGCACGATGGCCGCTGGCTCCGGGCCTTCGCTGTAGCGAGGTGGGGGTCCCTGCCACGCAGGGGTCCCTGCCATCCTGGGTGTGCCAGAGCCTTCCCAGGGGCTGCTGTAGCACAGCTAAAACAAAGCCTGTGTTTTCACCAGGGAACAATGAGTCTGATTTTCCATTTTGGGTTTGTTTTTTTTCCTTCAGTTGCCTGGAAAGCTCATAGGGTGGATGCAGAGGTGGCTTTCACGTTGTTTGTCTGGTCCGTGTAGGTTCGGCCAGTCTCCTAGCATGTGCTTTGGCTGCTGAGGCATCCAAGTGCTTTGCACCCCGGACTGTGTGGAGATGGGCTAATGCACGGCGGGTACCCCCTCCCGTTCCTGGGGGTGGTCCCCAGTGCAGTAACTAACTCTTGGCCCTGCAGCAGAGACAGGCCGCCGGGGCTGTCACCCTCCTGCCAGCATCCCCTTTCCCTCATCCTGAGCTCATTAAATGTGCAGCCTGGATGGAAATATTCTGACTGCTGATTTTAAAAATAAAGTGTTGGGGACGTCATCATGTCCCCAAAGGCTGGCTTCTGCCTGCGTCGCTCTAAGTTAAGATGGTAAAAGCGGCAATTGCACGTGAGGATTTTGGAAGAGTAATTTCCCCAGGCAATGGGCGGCTCTCCAGGTCCGAGGTCCCAGGAGTGGGACTGCTAGGTCAGCTGTTGGGTGCTGCGAAGGTTGCCTTGTGACTTGCACATTGGGGCAATTGGAAGGCCAGTTGCTCTCCATGTGTGATTAATAAAGACATGGTGCATGACCTCAGGAATTAGCATTTGGCACAGAACGCATTTGGGGGGGCGAGAGGGGAAGAACAAGCCACAGAAAACAAATGTCTCGCCTGAAACCCCATGGGGCATCTGTGACTGAGGAGACTCGACTGTGGTCGGCACGGGTCGTGGCCCTGCCTCCCTCGCCAGCCGTTCTGGCTCTGCTCCCCTCTTGCTGGGAGACCTCTATTTTTTCTGTCCAGCAATGCTGCAGGTTTTGCCAGCCTGGGTGAGAGCTGGAAGGGGGCGAGCGCTCCATCTGCACGCAGGGACCGGCAGATGTTTCGCTGCAGCGCCGTCCCTGAGAATAACTCCCTTGTGTGGGAAAGAGCCCTCCATTCTGCTGGACCAGGAACAGAAGCAGCATCTCCCAGCTCCATAAATTCATCCGCCAGTAGCACAAATCTGCGTCTGTGCTGCTGGGTGGTCTCTGCTCCGGCTGGAGACGGGAACCTGGAAACAGATTTTTATTCTCTGGGTGAAGCGAGCTTTCCTCTCAGGATGGATCCTGATGAAATGTCCTGAGCTGGCATTTCCCAAGGGGAGGCTGTCGGCCACCGCCAGCGGCTGGCAAGCAGAGCCGGCTCTCTTTGCTGGAGCCGCAAGGCTGCCCCGCAGGCCTGCAGGGTGTAGCTGGGTCAAAAACAAAAAAGAGAAGACGTCCACTCTCGGGGTCATGCCGGAGGGGCTTTGGGAGGAGGGTGGTGCACCTGAGAGGTGTGCGGGTCCGTCACCAACAAGTGCCGCTCTGGGGCAGCAAGGGAGGCAAGGAGCTTGCCGTGCGATGCCTGGGCAGCCTGTGGGGTGGTCCCTGGCACCGAGGGGGAAACTGCGCTGAGCTGGGCCATGCCAGTCCTGAAGCCCCCCTGCCTGGCTCCGGGGTGGCTCCTGGCCAGGGCAGCCCCTCGGTGTGTGAGCCGTCCCTGGGCACCATCCTCCTGCCGTGCTGGGTTTGGGCACTGCGTGCCCGCCTTGGCACGCCGTGGGGAGGGAACGTCAGTGGGCTGTGGGCCATGCCCTGTGGCGAGTGGCTCCCCTCAGCTGAGTGCCTGGCCCTGAAAAACTCTCTCCTTGCCAGCACTGTCCTCCCGCTCTTGGCAGCTGCCTGCCCCTGCCCGTGCCTGGCCTTGGGGCTGCTGGTAGAGCTGGAGCAGGGCTGGCAGGAGGCTGCCCACGGCTGGCACTGCCCTGTCAGCTGGTGCATGGCTCCTGGCCCCCAGCAGGGTGTCATCCCGTGGGGCTGGGACCTGGGACCCCATGGCAGGGTGCATGCCCCCCTTGAGGCACGAGCAGCCCGGCTCTGCGGTGCTTCTTGAGCTGGCTCCTCACCACCTCTTCTCTCCTCTTGCCAGGAACGACTGTGTGTCCCCCTTGCGACAACGAGATGAAGTCAGAGGCCATCGTGGAGCACCTATGTGCCAGCGAGTTTGGTAAGGAGGAGCGCTGGGGGCACGGGGAGGCTTCCCTGGGAGACACAGGGCAGCGCGGCTCCTGTGTGGGCCAGATCCTGGACCACTGCATTTCCCTGCCCGCCCTGAGAGCGGTGTGGCCAGTGTGGCCACGTCGCCTGCGGGCAGCCGCGGTCCTTCCTTGAGGCAAGGCGAGCGTGCCTCTAGATGTCAGTGTCGGCGTGCAGAGGCCGGCGTGGGGGCTGGATGGGACTGGACATGTCCAGATCCTGCAGCTGAGTGCACCCGGGGTCCGGGACAGCAGGGTCCGGGACAGCAGGGTCCTGGCGACAGTGCCTGTGCTCCTGCATCGCCCCAGCTGCGGTGCTGAGCGTCTCTCCTGCCCTGCCTGGTGAAACGCCCTGCGGGACGAGGCCCCGAAGTGCGGGATCACCCGCTGAAGCAGCGATGCCGCAGGCTTTGAGGCCCCACTGCTGCTGTCAGCCCCAGCTGCAAGCAGAGAACCAGGTGGCGTTGGTCTGGAGCCTGGGGATGGGGCAGAAGTGGCAGTGCCTGTTCTTTGGTGAACTCGGTGGGGTTCGTAACTTAACCCTGGTGTTCCCGTGCTCTTGTGTGCTTGCAGGAATGATGGATAGGATGGACCCTTATTCTGCTTGCAGTCATGAAGGGGCAAGCCAGCTTCCTCCTTCCCCCAGACTGCTTGTACCACTGCGTTTCTTTTTAGCAGAGTTATGCTGCTCTTGTCAAGTCTAGGTGTAAAAACCCAAAGCCAGCCCTTGTCTAGCTAGGGCCAAGCAGTGAGCTTAAAAAATGCAGAGCTACTTGAAAGCTATGTCCTAAATATATTATGACTGAGTGAGTCAGGCAATCATAGGTAAACAGAACTTCATTTAAAAAAAAGGTATCGCAGGGAAAAATATTAGCTTTCTCAGATCAAACCCAGAATTAACTGGTTTTGACATCCTTGCTGGTGTATGTAACTTTCCCGGAAGGTTATTAAAGGCATATTGAACAAGGTGTGCATTCCTTGGGGATTAGCACTTGAATGTGCCCTGTGCCAGAGTGCGCTGTGCAAACGCAAACCTGCTCTGCGTGTTGGCGTATTACCCTTTCTGCTGGAAATGAATTCTCAACTCTCCTGCAGATTTGGTATGCCAGAAGTCCTAAGTTCAGCGCAGACTTTTCCTAACAGGGAAAAGCATCAAGAGGAACACCCATGTAATAGTTTCCTGGGAATGCGCGTACTTTGAGCTGGGTCGGGTAACGGACGCATGAATTTGGCGCGGCAGCCTGGCTGGGGACCGGGATGTGCTGCTCGCCTGACTGCGGGGCTGAGCGCTCGGAGGAGGGTGAGCCGGGGCACACTGAGCTCTGCCCTGGGCAGGCACGAGTGAGAGATGAATAGGAGCTGCCCCTGCCCCACTGCACCTGTGGGGAGAAACGGGAGGGAGCTATCCCAGTGGCGGCGAGGGAGCAAGTGGCCTCTGGGACTGGCGCACCCGGTTTGGGCCGGGGCTGCGTGCCTGGGTTTGCGGTGACGCAGAGGCAGCACCCCGATCCGGGGGCTCTGGGCTTGGGGACCTCTGTCCCGGAGGAGGAGCGAGGGGTGCTGGCAGGCTGGCAGCGGCAGCTCCGTTGTCGGTGGGTCGCTGCGATACCTGTCGCCTCCCCGGAGGCATGTGAGGAGCAAACCGAGGTGGCATCCCGCTGGTGGGCAAGTGCTGGGAAGGGAAATATGAGTTTAACCGCATGCTTGTCAGCAGCTTCTGCTGCTAAATATCCTCCCCGTGCTCTGGGACAGTTACACAACGGGGAGCAGAGGCCAAACCAGAAGTATTCACGGCCTCGGTGGAGCGGCTTGAGACATTGACTTGCCCACAGAGTAAGTTGGTTATTGGGAAATTTTGTGGTGACAGCGTCCAAAGGATGGAAATATTTCTTGGCAGGCGGCTCCCCGGGGAGGGCTGCGGCGAGTGGCCAGATATAGTGTTACCGTGCACTGCGAGCAGCAGAGGAGCAGCAAGTAGAGGAGACCTCAGCCCCCGTGCCTACCCCCAATCAATCCAAAACGGCTGCGAAGGTTTCCACAGAAGCCTTCCTCCTGCTGTGGTTCGGGGTGGTGGGGATGGGTCCCTGTTCCCAGGCCAGCTGGGTCCCAGCACGGCGGGAGAGAAACGGGAGCCAGCTCTGCAGGCTCGGCTCACCGGGAGGAGCTCCGCTCCCTGCCGTGTCGGGGAGCTCGCTGGTGTCACCGAGTGCCCTGTGCCCACGTCCAGGTGACAGCAGCTCAGGCAGGCGAACGTGGCTAGATTTGAACCGTCTGGTGTGAGCCCTCGGGGTCCCATTAGTCATAATGTCAGGTATCACAGCGACGCCGGCGCGCCCACCTGGCTCGCCCAGATCACCGTGTTTCTCCAGCTTTGTGTAAAGTCATTTGTTTTCTCTGCCAAAGCAGAGTCTGATGCTTTTCTGACCATTGCAAGGAATTTGGGATCATTCTTTGTTCTGTGAATCACCACAACTCCAACATGTAACTTTATTTTTTAAACATGGCAGAGCTCTTGCTGATGCTGAGGTTGCTCCCAGTCCTCCTCCCTCCCACTCCTGCTTTCTCTTTTTGTCTCAGAAAGAGGTGGTTCATTTGAAAATGAGGTGACCTCCCTACTGTAGAAAAGTCCAAAGGCAGCTGAGCATGACGCAGCTGGTGTCTGCTGCGTGTGGACCATCGCTCTGTCTGCACACTGGAAAGCTGCTCATGTCTCGGATATACTTTTGTTCCCCTGCTCCTCCCCGTCACCAGCCTCAGTCGCGGTGGGAAGCTCCCTTGCATGGGTTGTCGGTGGTGTAGGTTTCATGCAGCTGCATTTGGTGTTTTCTTCCTTCTGTCATTGTGTTTTTCCTCCCCATCCAGGAGGGCCCTGGGTGCACGTAGCGCTGCCTCCAGATGTGCCCGGTCGGTAGCCAGCTGGGGAGCCGGAGCAAGGGAAGGGATGGGAGGCAGGCCTTAGCCGTGCTCTGCAAGGGAGGGCAGCGCAGGGTGCTCCTGGGGATGGCCAGCCGTGGAGAGGAGCCACGGAGGAGGCATCGCCTTCAGGAAGTTTTCTCAAAGCACAGCGCGTGGCCCTCGGATCTTTGTTTAGTCTTGGGGGGTTACTGTCATGCGGCGACTTCTCAAGGAGAGCTGTTTATCTGGCACTAAAATAAACTCCCAGCCCTTCAGAGTGGGATTTCTCATGCACATCCGCCAAGGTAAACACTGGCAGCTGACAGGTTACAGATCCTCATCAAAGCCAGACACGTACAATAAATGTTTAAACTAACGTGCGCTGCATGGGGCAGCTGTTGGTGGGTCCTGCACGGATTCCCGCAGTAACGTTACTGCGGGTTTCGCTTACGCCCCAGTGGCTCATTACAGACGAGACGCGAGGAGCACTTTGCCCACCACTGACGTGCGGCCGTGCCAGGGTGGCTGTGTAACAGCCCTGGGAGCGATGTCGGTCTGGAGGACGGAGAAGGAAGAGAGCTGCATCCAGCTGTGAACACGGGAAGACTGTAAAGAAAAGGGACCTTTCTCCCCTGGGCCAGGAGAGGGCCTTGGACAAGCTGCTGTGGCTCGGAGGGGTGCCAGGAGACCGCCAGCCTCATGGGCCAGCGGGACTCCGGGTTTGCGTTCGTTTGAGCAGCAGTGAATGTGGGCTCCTGGGTGCTGGTTTGAGCTCTCTCCTCCCAGAGCAGGATGGCTCTGGGACGGCAGCATGTCTCGCTGTCCATGCAGCTCTGGCTGGGGTGATAGCCGTGCAGTGGGAGTGATGTGCATGCTCCTGTACCCCCGGCAAAGCGCTCGGTGCTATCTGCCTGCTGCTGTGGCTGCCCTGCCTGTAGGCGGAGGGGACCTGGGCCAGCACTGCCAGAGACACTTGGAGATTAGCTTCTCCTTTCTTTATTTCAGCAGCATGCAGGAGCTGACTCCTCTTTTCCACCCTAGCTCTCTCCTTGGAAGCACCAGCCAAGTGCCTCCAGGAAAGGGGGAGCATTTTTGACTCAGCGTCTCTGCATGCAGCTCCCAGCCTTGCACCTGGTTTGCTGCCCAGTTACTTGCCATAGCAGCAGTCGGCGCTCCCTGCGGTATCAGCAAGGTCCCGTTGCATCTCTGGCTGTGTGTGAGTGCTGTTCCACATCTGCCTGCCTGGGTGCCAAGGCTGGGAGCAGGCAGCAGAAACATCGCCCGTGGCTCAGAGCGGGGCTGCGGGAGCGCAGAGGTGTCAGCGAGTGGTGCAGGGACCCTCGCCTGGGGCACAGAGCAGCTCCAGGGGCCGGGCCAGGTATGTTGGGGGGCTAACGGCAGTTTAGGTTTTGGTGCAGCTCCGGTGAGCTGGGGGCAGCGATGGCTGCATGAAGAAGTGTGAGATTGCCCTCCTGTGCCCCCACAGCCACCCCCCAGCCTCCCTGGGCTCAGCCAGGGTTTGTTTCTCCCTCCTCGTGCAGGCTGGGCTGGCCCTGGAGTTCATTCCTCTCTCTGTTTCTCTTGGTGATTTTATTTATTGTTTCTGCCCTTTCTCTGGGGTCTGGGGGGACCTGCTGA